GCTTGGGCGTTCCCCGACCCCATAGACGCCCAGGTCGCCCTGCAGTGCTGGCTACCCCCTCCCGCCTGCCATCCCGGCTCCCATCCAGCAGGGGCCCTGACTTCTAGCAGAGGACCATCGGTAGGGTGAGTTTGCTTCGGGCCGTGGCAGGGTCCTGGTGAGGAGGAGCTTGGGTGTTCCCCGACCCCATAGACGCCCAGGTCGCCCTGCAGTGCTGGCTACCCCCTCCCGCCTGCCATCCAAGCTCCCATCCAGGTACGAATTCCTATATTTCTCCCTTCCCCCTGGGGCCATAAAATTTTCCCCAGCTCAGCTGCCTTGCAAGCTGAGCCTGCATTGTAAGCGCATCCAGGAAAGAGGGAGTGCCTGTGCTTCAATAGCCTGCCTGAGGAAAGGTGGGCATTCTGTCAGTGAAGTCCCTGCCCAAGAAGGGAACCTGACCCGGTAACAGAAGTTCCAATAGAGAACATTTGAAGTAAGAGATGGGCAGACGCCAAGGCAAGACCTCATCCAACAATCTGAAAAACAACATGAAAACACCAGATCCCAAGGACCCTACAACAGAAGGGCTTGAACACCTTAACCCAGAAGAAGTGGAAAAAAGGGCCATTATGAAAGCAATAGAGTCCCTTAAACAGGATATGAATAACTTCCTTAAAGAATTGGATGAGAAATATAACAAAAAGTTTGAAGAAATGAGTATAGAAATGGATGAGAAATATAACAAAAAGTTTGAAGAAATAAGTAAATCCGTGAATGAGACCCTGAGAAACCAAGAAAAAACAATCAAACAAGTAAAGGAAACAGTCCAAGAATTGAAAACTGAAATGGAAGCAATGAAGAAAACACAAACGGAGAACCAGCTGGATATGGAAAACCTAGGTAAACGAACGGAGACTACAGAATCAAGCATAACCAATAGAATACAAGAGATAGAAGAACGAATCTCGGAATCTGAAGATACCATAGAGAAAATAAATGCTCTGGTCAAAGAAAACGGCAAATCCAACAAATTCTCTTCACAAAACATTCAGGAAATCTGGGACACAATAAAAAAACCAAATCTAAGAATAATAGGGATTGAAGAAGGAGAAGAACTGCAGATCAAAGGCCCAGAAAATATATTCAACAAAATTATAGAAGAAAACTTTCCCAACCTAAAGAACGATATTCCTATGAAGGTTCAAGAAGCATACAGAACACCGAATAGACTGGATCAGAAAAAAACATCCCCTCGCCATATAATAATCAAAACACAAAACATAAATATTAAAGAAAAAATTTTAAGAGCTGCAAAGGAAAAAGGTCAAGTAACTTATAAAGGTAAACCTATCAGGCTTACACCGGATTTCTCTATGGAAACCATGAAAGCCAGAAGATCCTGGATAGAGGTACTGCAGAAACTAAGAGACCATGGATGCAAACCCAGACTACTATACCCAGCCAAGCTATTGTTCACTATCAACAAAGAAAACAAAATATTCCAGGATAAAAACAAATTTAAACAATACGTAGCTACTAATCCAGCCTTACAGAGAATATTAGAAGGAAAATCACTACCGAAGGAATCCAACATTCCCAACACGGCCTACAATAACTCGAACATCTAGCGACCATTCACAAGCACAAATCAAAGAAGAAAAACACATACACTCTATTACCTAAAAAAAAAAAATGACCGGAGTCAACAACCACTGGTCATTAATATCACTTAATATCAATGGACTCAATTCACCTATAAAGAGGCACAGACTTAGAGATTGGATACGAAAACAGGATCCAACATTCTGCTGTTTACAAGAAACACACCTCAACCACAAAGACAGACACCTACTCAGAGTAAAGGGTTAGGAAAAGGTTTTCCAAGCAAATGGACCTAAGAAACAAGTGGGCGTGGCCATTCTAATATCTAACAAAATCGACTTCAAACTAAAATCAATCAGAAGAAATGGAGATGGACATTTCATACTCATAACTGGAACAATTCATCAGGAGGAAGTCTCAATCCTGAATATCTATGCTCCTAATATAAAGGCACCCACATATGTAAAAGAAACTCTTCTAGAACTCAAGGCGGTCATCAAACCACACACACTAATAGTAGGAGACTTCAACACTCCTCTCTCACCAATGGACAGGTCAATCAGACAGAAACCAAACAGAGAATTGAGAGATCTATTGGAGGTATTGAATCAAATGGACTTAACAGACATCTATAGAACACTCCACCCAAATAGGAAAGAATATACCTTTTTCTCTGCAGCTCATGGAACCTTCTCGAAAATTGACCACATACTCGGTAACAAAGCAAACTTCCACAGATACAAAAAAATATTAGTAACTACCTGTGTCTTGTCAGATCACCATGGACTAAAATTAGAATTCAACAACAAAGCTCCCCCCAGGAAGCCAACAAACTCATGGAAACTGAACAGACAACTACTAAATCACCCCTGGGTCAAGGAAGAAATAAAGAAAGAAATTAAACTCTTCCTTGAATTTAATGAAAACAAAGACACAACATACTCAAACCTATGGGACACTATGAAAGCAGTGCTAAGAGGAAAGTTCATAGCACTAAGTGCCCAATTAAAGAAAACAGAGAAAGCACACATTGGAGACTTAACAGCACACTTGAAAGATCTAGAAAAAAAAGAAGCTGATTCACCCAGGAGGTCTAGAAGACTGGAAATAATCAAACTGAGGGCTGAAATCAACAAAATAGAAACACAGAAAACAATCCAAAGAATCAATGAATCAAAAAGCTGGTTATTGGAGAAAATCAACAAGATTGACAAACCCCTATCCAAATTAATCAAACGGCAGAGAGAGAACATGCAAATTAATAAGATCAGAAATGAAAAGGGGGACATAACCACAGACACAGAGGAAATTCAGAGAATCATTAGATCTTACTATGAAAGTTTATATGCCACAAAGTTGGAAAATGTAAAAAAATGGACATTTTTTTAGATAAGTACCATATACCAACGTTTAACCAAGAACAGGTGAACAATCTAAATAGACCTGTTAGTCGCGAAGAATTAGAAGCTGTTATCAAAAATCTCCCTACCAAAAAAAGCCCAGGACCAGATGGTTTCAATGCAGAATTCTACCAGAACTTCCAGGAAGAGCTAATACCTATACTCCTTAACGTATTCCACAATATAGAAACAGAAGAGTCACTGCCTAA